TAAGTGAAGTCAAAACGTGTGTCAGAACATCTAAACACGGTTGCACAGATGTAATAATGTTATTCTGTCACTGAATTTTAGTCAAACTGGAGGACTCTGTGCATAAGACAAACACTTGATTTCAAATTTTATTTGAAGGATGAGCAAGAAAAGCTCTGTTTGAACCATAAAGACTTTTATTAACTTATGCCACTCCTATAAAAGTATTAGAATTCAGTGCACATCACTGAGCTAAGAAAATAATATTGCATCTCTATGGCAACCTGCAATGAACAGCATATTGACCATCTCTGAAGACACAGGGAATTGCATTATTCTTGCATTATGACGGTTTCTACTTAGAGCATGCCTTGTGCTTACTTTTCTTTAGGATTAAAAAAAAAAAAAAGTAAGAATTGTGAATCACCAACCTTCCAGCCAAATGTTTGATGCATGAAGCATTAATTTTATCTCCTGTAGCTCCTGCTTTGTGCAGAGCAACTATAACTTCATTCATGCTGCCAACATTTCTCTACACAATTCCCAAGGAAAAGACAAAGTCAAAGACTCTATATACATTCTTGATGAAATCATGAAAATAAGGCCAACTGCTTCTCTTCCCCTTTCATCTTTGATCATTTACACTGTTCACGTCTCAGCTGTTACAACACTGCACCATGACATCAGATGTTCCTTTATTCCTCAGGGTTTAGCTCAGTGAAAGGGAGAAAGTGTGCATTTCAAAAAGGAGATGGGTCTGGTATAAACTAGAAAAAACACAGAGGGCACTGTAAAGAAAAGAGGTTGCAGAGTGTGCGAGAGCCACAAAGATGCGTGGACAAATGCGCCTGCTCTGCCTAGAGAAGGGCAGCAAGCAGAAAGGAGAGTAGGCAGAGAGCACCACTGGGAAAGGCAGACACTGATCACACAGCAGTGCAAATCCATCTCCAAAGTCCATTAAATGCTTTTCAGAAGGTTTGTGGCAGGTTAACAGTGGTGAAGTGCTCACTGATTCGTTAATAATAACATCTTTCAATATTATTGGGACTCTTTGGCCAGACATGATGACATTGTGCTCGTTCTGCCTAGTTGTAAAATTGAAGCACTGTCAAAGGCAGCACATTTTTCTCCAGCTCTTTGCACATGCACCTCAATAAAGCTTTAAGCTTTAGGGCATAAGTCCCTGACAAGTAATGGCAGCTAGAGACACTCATTCTTGGTGAACAGATTATTCCATTTCTGACTATTTCATGGTTTTCCTCCATTTCTCAGAGGTGTATCAACACAGGAGAGATGGTACTGGAATAAAAGGACTGCAACTTGTATGTTTGGCATGTTCCCTTCCCTTTCCTGTCACTGTTTCTGCATAGGAAAATTCAGTGGCTTCTGGCCACATTTAAAACAAGTTATTCTACAGAATGCCTCCCAGCCAAATTAAGAGGCTAAGAGCAGCAGAGAGTATTTTTTTAAAAAATGATAATAATAATTAAAAAAAAACATTTGGCAGTGGTGAAAAATGGCAACATGTAGTATAATTATGTGCCTTCAAATCTGGATCAGCAATCTAGTCCTTGCTGCTACGTCCAGTGAGCAAATTACATCAGAAGCCACTGGAGCTGCCTGCAGCAGGCAGAGCCGCTGGCAGCTCAGGCCTGCCAGTACTCGCAGCAGTGCTGTGAGACAAGTGAAAAGTGCTTTGCATTAAAATTCAGGGAAACTTCTGCTCTTTATCAGTTTGATTTGATAGTTGATTTAACTGTCTTGTTTTTCCTCATCCAGCACTCAGTGGCTGAATTTTGTATTTCATGTTCTCAGACAGCAGATGACCTACTTTTCTTGCATTATTATTCCTGGTTTAGGCAGCCTGCCTCCCTGGGGGCGGAGGAGGAGTGCTGATGATATGTTTGTGGAGGATATACAGCTGGGACTAGGTTGGTGACTGATTCAGAGAGGAAAGGGGTAGAGCTTTCAGTATGGTTTCATGGGAGGTGAAAATGTATTCAGCCTGTGATGCTGCACCCTGCAATGGGAAAGTCTGTTTACAGAGGGGTTTAAAACAAAAATGAGTAATTTCTAAACATCAGAAGAGTAAGTAAATGGCCAGGCAGAGATGGGGTGAAGGAGAAGGTGTGAAGCGTGGGAGGAGTGGGGCAATGGGTGACAGGTGGGGAGGGTAGTTTGAGAGTGGGTAGCCAAGAGAAGGGTGGATGAGCTGGGTGAGTGCTTCGAGAGCCCCTGGATGCTTACAAGGAGTGGCTGTGCAGTGAGAGGCTGTCTTTGGAGAAAAAAATGGAGGCAAGGATGTCAGCAAATGTGGTAAGTGCATGGGAGAGAGGAGGGAATAAGAAGCAAAAGGACAATATGCCTTAAAGCTCTATTTTTGCCAGTGTAGGCAAGTGGGTAGCTCAAATTCACCTCCTACACAAATGAGCAATCCCTGCTGCTTTTGGGTAAACACAACTCTAAACGAGACCTGTGCTTGCAGGCCTGTTATGGCTACGAACTTGTTGCATGAGAGCAAGCCTTTGTCCCAGCTGAATGTGAGATGTAGTCAAAATCATCTTGTGGGGTCCAATAACCAAAACAAGGAACCTCCACGAAAACACAAGTCACACACAAGCAGGTGAGAAATGCCTTCAGTGAAGGGAGAATTTCTGCAGTCAGAGAATGGTATCAGGAGGTCAGTCAAAAGAAGGAGACCTGGGAACATACTGCAGGGAGAAAACTAAGTTTTCATGCTGAAGAGTTGTATGGGACAGGAGTAAGACCTGGGAGTGGGAGCAATAAACCCAGCCTGTGTTTCAGCCTCTATCCCTACTCCATTTGGAGAAAAACAGCCCATGTGTGCATTCTTCATAGGTAACAAAGTTTACAACAAATGCTTAAATCCATCATTTTAATTGCCTGTCAGGGAAGAACCCAAATAACCGTTAATTTACCTGGTCAAAGCGAACAATAAGTTATTCTTCTCTTTCTTAATGCATCTGCACAATCTTCCTCTGCAGCCCTTTGGGCAGTCTAAGGTAAGGCTTTTGCTGCTGCTGTAACTGAAGCAAGATGCTTGCAACCAACTGCGGAGTCAGGCAGTTATAAAAGCAGAGGAAGGAAGGGATGGTCTTGCCTTGCAACTGGAAAAGCTCATGACCAGCAGGGAGCTGTGCCTCCCCTCATAGCCACTGGCTCCTTTCAGGCATTTTGCATATTTGCACATTGAAATGAATGAGCATTAATGAGATCTGATGAAGATCATTCCATTTAATACAATACCTGAAGGTAGTAAAACACCTCCCTGTAAAGGTCTGGTTTGAAACTCCAGCTTTACCTTTTCTGATACAGCTAGAGAAAGGAACTGAAAAATTCTATGAGCAATAATAACTGAAAGCTCCTTAGTCTAATCCTTTCTTCCAACACCCATCTCTCAGGCTGCAGGCAGGTCGATAGGCCCTGACACTTAGCAGTACTTAAATATATCACGTATTATCTCACATATTCTGTGTACGACTTCTTGAGCAGCATAAGAGCTAGTTGCTGCTATTGGAAAAATACACAATAGTGGTGCACCTAGTAATGGCAAAATCACATTTGAAGATTTTCCCTTCACTTGGAAATGGCTTTTCTAATTCTCAAAGCAAGAAATCAAATTGCATTATTGCTGGAGAGCGAGGAGAGAGAGAATGCCTATAGCAAGAAAAAGGGTAAACAGCCACTTGTTTCCATGTCATCCACTGAGCAGGTAGAAAACCCCAAATATCCTACCACTGAAGTGGAAAGGCTAAAGATGTGATGTGTCTCTACTTTGTAACTTAAATTATTTCTCGCTAATCAGTCCCAGATGACCAACAGTGAAGATATTTCATGAGTGAATTGATCATTTACGACCCTTCAACAGCAGGGAGGCATTGCCATTGCTTGCTGGAAAGCTCACCACCAGCTGCAGTCCCCAGAGACAATAAACACTTTGACAAAATTTAAGATAAGAAGACATTTCACATAATTAACAGACAGAAAAAACGTCATTAACTTCTCACCTACCCAGACATTTGTCGTGACCAGTCAGTTTCATGTCTTGATTTACTGAAGAGGGGTCCAAAATGTTCTAAGGGATTCTGTATTTCTATCCACTATGGGAAAACTACCCTGCAAGAAACTAGAAGATGGCATCTTTAGGTTAACCACAATTGCAAAGAAGCCGTTTGACTTAGTCCTCACACAGGAATGAGCGTGGCTGCTTGCTGTTTATCATCCTGCAAGAACTGATGTCTGTTGCCCTGAGCTACAATAAAAGGCCAATGAGAATTAAATTAACATCAAAAGAAGCAAAGCTGAGCCATATCATCAAAGGAGTAAAGCAGACGTGTAATTGTGTGATCAAAATGAGTTAGGTTTCTTCTGGTTCACTGCAACCCTGCCGTGTCTGTATCAGGCACTCTCTGCTCACGTGTGCAGCCCAGAAGTGGCCAGAACAGGGGGTTTCCTACCTAGACCCCTTCTCATTTCCATATTTCCCCCCCAAAAGAAGCAATAGAATGCTTGAGGCATCTGCACTGTCATTTGCCACTTGCCTTCCTCGTGGTTCCTTATCAGTGGGAATAATTAGCTTGAACACTGAAAGCCCCTCAGTGGGAATAAAGGGACAACCCCATGTCTCCTAGCACAGAACAGAAGCTCATTAGCTTGCATGAATTCCCCATGAAATGTGGATGCATATACAGCATATGGCCTTGTTATGCTTTTCTCCCCAAACAGATAGCAAAAAAAAGGTATATTTTTGTTGATCATCTTCTAGTATAAATTTGTTTGGGAGTAGGAACATTTTTTTTAATGAACTGTGTATTCTACATCTGTGATTCATGTGTTAAAGAGAAAATTCAATCATTTCAGTGTAATTGTTTTATTTACACCAGTTTAACCAGAAAATAAATGGCTACAATAATCTTATTCTGAGTAAGAAATTATGCAGTTCACACCAGGAGGGTAGTCAGCAGTGAAAAAAAGTAATATTTTCCTGACAAAGCTAGAAATTCATGAATGCTTCCGTGATGGGCAAGAAACCAAACGTTAAAATTACCTCAAGCCATTTCACATGACAAAATAACAATGTTTTATTCATCCTCCCCTTCATCTTTTCTCTTCAAACAAGTGCAGGCCAGGTGATTAACACGCAATCAAAAGCATGGCCCCAGAAACAGAAGGTCCTTCCCTCCAACTCTGCCCAGCACTTAGAGATCTCAGGGAAGCACATCTGTTCTCTTGTAGGGTTTGAAGTAGCAAAATCGCTGAAGGATCTTGATGAGAGGGAGCCTGAATGTCAGTTGTACCTCCTATAAATGAAATTTGATAAGAGAAGAGTGATTGGACACCACATAATGACATTTCATTTAATTAATGTGCTCTGGAAGAAGCAAACATGGGCAGAGCAGCACCGTCAGATGCCCGTACCAGCAGTGCCGAGCTGTCAGCCCGACCCTTCATTTCTGTACTGCCTGTGGAGCAAGTACAGAGGATGACTACCCCGCTTTTCAAATTACCTTTCAAAACAGCCACTAAGTAGGTGCTGACATGTAAGGGCAACACTATAAACCCTTCTTGCGACTTCAGAATGGCACCTGAGCATTTCCCAGGATGTGCCAAAGGGACTCCAGGCTGGGCAAGAGGGAGAATCCCGGGAACCAGGCTGCCCGCCCGTGTGCACAGGGCTCTGGGGATAACACCATGACCATGGCACCCCCCAAACCAGCCGCTAACCGGGATGGGCCAAAGCCCTGGCAGGGAGGATGCTCGCAGGTAAGTAGCATGGATGATCGTACCTCAGTACAACCAGAGGAGTCTCCTATCACTGAAACGGTTGTCAGCCTGAGGAAACAGGGAGCTTCACATGCCTCATCCAGCCTCAGGAAACACCGCTGAGCCCCCAGAAGGTGCCAAGTACAATATCAGCTCAGAGACAGCAGATCCAGGCTCACAAGGCTGGTGCAGCCTTTGAAGCACACACAGTGTTTGCAGGAGGTGAGTAAGCTACTGCTACTCCCACTTATTGGGAGGGTGCTCCAAAACTACGCGGATGCTGCATAATGCTAAAGCTTCTGCTGGTGGATCTGCAGGCGTCCAGGGCAGCACTTACCCAGCCAAGCTGAAGCTGAGTGTCCCTCTGAAAGCCCGGGCCACACTGCAGCTCTGAAGCCAGCCTTTCATCTCCACATCTGCTGCATAAACAAATGTTTGACTTAATGTAGAGGAGTAAGGAGTATCCTTTTCTGTGTCTTTTTTGCTACAAATAATGTGAGCTACCTAGGGAGGACCTGTGCAATGAGACAGATGAACTAAAATAACGCACCCAGACATGTTTAATAATGTGTCCACCCAGCAAGAGCCTCCTTTTGTTGAAGGCCAGGATACTGTTCTGCGGGAATGGAGAAGGTCAGAAACATGCAGCTACCCACGGGGATGGAGGAAATGGCAAAGAAAGGACACCGTGTCCTCCTGTGGCACCTGTGCCAAACGTCCTGCACCTCAAGAGGACACTCTCCAAAAGCAGCAACTGTCTGAGTGCTGCTGCTGAGGCTCCAGCACAAAGTGAGCATTATCCCGTGAGTGAGAAGATGCAATGGCCAGGCCAGCACAGAGGCACCAGCACAAAGTGGGCATGTACATGATTCCTGAGCACTGGTGTTTTCCAGTGCCTTTCTTGAGGAGATCTAATGGCTTTGCTTTACTTTCAGCTTTCAGATAACAGCTCCTAGCGAGAAGCAAGAGAAATCAATACAGCTTGCTCAATGGTACCTCTGGAGTGCTGTAAATCTAATTCAGCAATATTATGACCTTGATAATCCACCTTCTCTGAATCGAGATGGGTTATATCCAACACTGCAGTGACTTCGGACATTTCCCTAGTACAGCCAAGAGCAGTACTGCAGAACAGAGCTAACTGAGGGGTGTATATACTGCCAGTGCCTCAACAGCTATAAAAAGGTTTCCATCTGCTTTGTTAAAATAAGGTTGTTTACTCAAAATGCCTTTGAAGCAAAGACAAGGAGTAGTACAAATTGCTCTAGGAAAGGATCACCGCTATTTATAATAAATCTGGACGGAAATAAAGGTGATGATGAATGCTGGTGATTACACTGGAACCACACAGACAGGTAGGACTGCGATCACTTTGATGTCCCTGCAAAGGGCAGCTTTCGGACCAGAATTGGATTTTGCCCACAGTGCCAACATGGACTTCAGTGTTCATCCCACCCAGCAGGGCCTTGCTTATTTGAAGATATATTTTGTGTCTTGTGGGAGTGAAGATACTTACCATAAGTAAAAATAACAAACTGAGCAGCTGCCAAAGATCACAGCTGGAGGAGTTCTCCAGTAAAAACTTCCAGTTTCGACACTGAGGATCCTGGACCCAAAGCTGGCTGTGATGCAGCTTGGGTGCTTTTCAAAACCCCATCCTCAGCAGAGAGCCTGCTCCTAAGAGCCTGGCAGATTGGGCACAGATTGCACTGGCCTATCACATAGGGTTGTTACTCCTGCAGCTGTGGGAGAGGGACAAGTTTTGCCTTTGCAGAGGCCTGCATTTAAAAGATGAGCTCCTCCGTTCAAGTGTGTCACAGGCAAAGCATGCAACTTCAGTTTCACGAAGGCTTCCCACAAGACTCTTTGCTGAAAGCTTCACTCCCCCAGCAGTGTCTGCATCATTGCCATCAAATCTAGCCTCATGGTGTGCCCAGCACAGTGCGGTAGCCCCAGCACAGCTCCAGTACATACCCAGCACGTCCTCAGCACACCCCAAGCATGCTGCTGCTCTGCACCAGCTGCACAACTTCTGAATGTAAGTCAGAAATATTGTGGCTGCCCAGAGCAGTTCAAAGGGGAGACGTGTAAGAGAGGCCCAGCAAGGCAATCACAGACCCTGGAATAACTGAAAGACTGTTTTAACTTGTATTGTTATTCAATGATAAGATATTGAAATGATGCCTTAGATAAGACCTGGGAGGAGGGCAGAGAGTGGCTGTGGCAACTAAGGCTGCACTTTTATCTACAGGGGCAGCCTAAGGAAAAATGAAGTGCCAAGAGGTCTCACAGATGCAGTTTGCTGTCTCTAATTGACCAGGCTGCATTTTCAAGGCTACCTTTGCAATGAAAGTGGGTAAATGTTGATTTTTTTTTTTTTTTTTTTTTAAGATGACAGATCTTCCCAAATCAGAGAAGCCATGCAAGGCTTGAAGCCTGTCCCCTGCAGAAGTCCTGGCTGAAGAACTAGCTTGGGTCAACAAGTGAACTGTTACTTAGATGGCCCAAGCAGTCAATATGTGCAGTATCAAAGAGAATGAGCTCCTGTGTGCAGCTGTGCAGCAGCCCTGCTCCCCACCGCCTGGGGCTGAGTGTGGAAAATAAGGTGCTAACAGCTTAAGATTCGGGTACGTGCTTGGTGAACCTCTCAAAGCACCTCTGCATCCTAGTCCCCGCCCGCATGAGATGTGTAGGAGCTCACAGGGTTTTCATACCCATACAGCTAGACACCAAAATGTGTTTTTAAAACTGGCCCATGGCCATGCTGCAATTAATACCCCTATTAGTGAGATGGCAAAGCAATGCATACAGACGCTGTCACAATGGCTCTGCACAGCTCTCAGACAGGAGGTAGCACTGCAGCACGTATTATAAGGTGCAAGATGACCAAATTTGCAAAGCCAATATCCTGCCCTTGGTAATGTTCTGCAGAAGGCTTTTAGGCAGAATCCAGGAAAGTATCTGAGATGAAAAACCTCAAAAAAATGTTCTGAAGAGTCTTTACTGCTTTACTCCTACATCTGCCATGCTGCATATTCAACTTGGTTTATGCTTAGGCAAAATAAATTAATCAGTAGGGCTGCAAAGAAAACATTGCTAATTGAAAGATAAATACACTCTAGAGAAACCTCCTCCAGGAAAGAGCTGACAAAGTAGGAAATAGTAGGATAGGAGTAACACATCACTAGAAGAATAAAAATAACAGAAACCTCAATAGTGTTGTAATAAAACCAAATATATCCAAACATTGAGTGAACCACACAACCATTCAGAAGTCATAATTTTTTCATTTATTTAGGAAAAAAAAGGTGTAAGTACTCAATACCTACCTGCAGTGAAGCCAACTCAATTCTAACCTAATTTTAGCAGATGAGCATGATACATACCACATTTCACATCTACAACAGTTAAATCAATGAAAAACTGAATTAGTGGCCATTACAAAAAACGAAGGATTCATTGCAAGGTTAGTTCTTTCACCTTCTCTCTCCCCTGTTCTCCTCCAAACAAGACTGTACCAGTTTAGCTTCATTTTTTCAAGACACTGATACTTTCATTTTTAAGATTTAAATCCTGTCAGTGGGTTTTTGCACACAGCTCATTAGTTAACAGGCCTATTCACACAGATGAAAGATATTGTTAAATATTTTGCTGACTTAGGATTATTATCTAGGGTCAGTGGGGCAAAGCAACCAGCTTCACCTCCCTCCACTCTTTCTGTGGCAGCAGACAAGAATGCAATGGCTTTCTTAGGGCAGTAATTACTAAGAAGCAGCCAGGACACTTTCAGACCTTCAGTGAGTTCTTTGAGCAATGCTAATGCTGTAAAAGAAGAGTTGTGATTCCTTTCAAGGCTCTCACCAGCACACCTGTGGGCAAGGAACCTTGATAAGACAGTAATTGGAGGGGGGGGGTGGGGTTCAGCACCTATTCAAGAAGTATTGTTTTAAACCATATCTTAAATAACATGACAAACATACAACACACTGCATTTTTCACCAGTCACCTAAAAAGGACATGAGCTAGAATAGGGTTCTCTGCCAATTTTTGAGTTTCCAGCACCTGCTACAGAAACAGAAGGATTGTTCATAAAACATCTGTGAAAGAAAACTCAGCTTGGAGTCAGAGGAGTCTTCTTTCCCCACCAGCACTTCTGTAACTATGGCTATGGGATATACTCACACTTCAGGAGAAGCATCCACTCCTGCAATAGGAGTAAATGTGCAAATAAAATTAAAATCAATTAAAAAAAAAATAATGAGGAAATGAGAGTGACCTGTTAAGCTAATGACTGATTACAGCATCTAAAGCTCACAGAGGCTGACAGATGTAAAACCACAGTACTCAGCAGTGCTTGCCAATGTGCACTGGTTAAAAATCATGCAGGATGTGGTCACCTTTCATTGTACAGAGTGTTACAAAAATTAAGAATTTATTTCTGTTAAAAGAAACACACTCAGTGAAGCAGATACAGAGATAAAATTGTGTGATGTTAATAATAAACATGTAAACATTTTCAGTGGCAGGATCCTTCATT